TTAAAATATTGTTAATTTTCTGTGGTGTTTATCACAGCAGCGTCTCCAGCGTCTCTGTACGTGGCCCCTCCCACCAGAGCAGCACAAATGAAGACTTGTCTCTTTCCAAACGCTCTTAAAGGACGATCGTTTTGACTGTTGACCGTGACACCCTCATCAAAAAATGTCAAAAATGAGAAAAGTGGAGCCGAGTGCAGGATTTTAAAAAAAAAAATGTACATATTCCTATTTACATACAAGTTAATGTTAAAACATTGTGTTGAAATTGCATTTTTCTTAAAATTTCAGGTTGTTCATAATATTATAATATTTTGTAAAAGAAAGAGTTCATCAATTAAAAAAGATTTCAGTAATAGATTTGTGTTTCTCTGCACAAATATTTGAACTTATTGTTATTTTTGGGGTTTATATGACATGAGTTTTCTGATCCGGCCCCTTTGGGATCAAAGTCGGTTGGATTCGACCCCCGGACCAAAATGAGTTTGACACTCCTGCACTAAACCGTTCGCAAAAACCCCGGAAGTGCAAGTTCGGGCATCAGTCAATCAGCGAAGAGACGATTGATTATTCAAGGGACAAAAATGTGTGATTAAATTCCGATTAATCACGAGTTCAATATGACACTCATGAGATTTATCACGATTAAATATTTTAATCAAATGACAATTTAATCAAGACGAGGCAAGTTTATTTGTTACAGCACAATTCGTACACAGAGTAATTCAAAGTGCTTTACAGATTAAGAAAAACATTAAAATCACCATCAAAACAAATCAAAACATAAATAATCATCATAAAATTAAAGATTAAAGTTAAAAAAGAGAGAGAGAGACATTAATTACATAAATTAGAAAGAAGACACAGCATTAATTCTTACATATTAAAAGACTATTTGCAGGCTGATTCTGACATATAACGTCTCATAATGTTTGAACTTTTATTCATACAAAGCTTCAGTAGTGATTTAAATGACGAATAACAATTATACACCACAAATGGATCTGTGTATCATTCGTTCATTCGTTTTTCAATGTAAACCCAAAAATAAGAAAATGAAAAAACAGCAGTTTTCTTCATTATTTGTCTCCAAAACCAAAATTTTTTCATAGATAATGATTCGTTTTTTTCAGTTTTCGATTTTGTGTTTAAATGAAGAAGGGAAAAAAATGGATAATGACCGTTTACGTGACTTCTGTGACTGCGATGCCGGACTTTTGCACTGCATACGGACTGAACCAGGACTGATCCAGGTCCGGGACCAGACCGGGTCTGAGACTGAGACCAGAGCGGACTCTGAGCTTTGACTCTGAGCCTCCGTGGGGTCCAAGCCTCAGCTTCGAGCTCTGGCCCTGCCGTGGGCTCTGAGCCTCCTGTCTGGTCCTGGTCTGGTCCCAGTCTGGCCTCTGTCTGGTCTGGTCTGGTCTGGTCCCGGTCTGTCCCAGTCTGGTCTCGGTCTGGTCCCGGTCTGGTCCCTGGTCCCGGTCTGGTCCCGGTCTGGTCCGGTCTGGTCGGTCGGTCTGGTCCCAGTCTGGTCCCGGTCTGGTCCCGGTCTGGTCCCGTCTGGTCCCGGTCTGGTCTCAGTCTCGGTTTGGTCTCAGTCTCAGTTCTGCTCTCAGTCCCGGTCTGGTCTCTGTGTCAGTCCCTCTCTGGTCCCGGCCTGGTCCTGGTCTGGTCCCGGTGTGGTTCACGTCTGGTCCCGGACCTGGATCAGTCCTGGTTCAGTCCGTATGTGGGGCAAAAGTCCAGCATTGCAGTCACGGAAGTCACGGAACGGGAAACGGCCGTTATCCGTTTTTTTCCATTCTTCATTTAAACACAAAATCAAAAGCTGAAAAAACAAAACATTATCTGTTTTTTCATTTTGGTTTTGGAGACAAATAATGAAGAAAACTGTTTTTTCATTTTCTTATTTTTGGTTTTATTTTGAAAAACAAATGAACAAACGATACACGGGTTCACATGGATCTCTTGTGTAATAAGTTAACTGTGATTTAAGGAAATAAGTGCCATTTTCACCTCTTAAATTAGAATCGGTTGATATCGGGGATCTGCAGATACTTAAAATCAAAGTATCAAAGTATCGTAACAGAAAAAGCTGGAGCCCTGCAGATAACGACATGACGTGTGTGTGTAACATTACTGGTCCAATTGGGTTTCTCTTGTCTCTTTCTCTTTCTAGGAACTGTGCAATTGCTGTGAATGGGCGTCTTCCTCAAAGCGTCAACATAAATGTGATTCAGTGAGGGGTAATTGTGAGGGGCTCCGCCTGAAGCTCTAAATTCAGCTTAAACCCAACACGTCGTACAAGTGTGAATGTTTACAAGAATACTGTGTTAGTCTGTGTGAGGAGGCGACTGCGCTGGGGCGAGTTTGAACTGGTCATCGTCACCTCGAACTTAAAGGGCTTAAAAGGTTTATTACTCTGTTTTCTGATCTAAGACGACGTTCAGACTGCAGCCTGAAGTGACCCAAATCTGATTTTTTGACCCCTATGTGACCTGTATTCAGTGTTGGGAAGGTGACTTTTAAAATGTAATCCCCTACAGATTACAGATTACACACGCCAAAATGTAGTTTGTAACATAATCCATTAAATTTAAAGTGAGTAATGTAATCTGATTACTTTGGATTACTTGATATTGTCATGTGTTTTAAACGACATGAATGTAGCGAACACATCCTGAAAATTCTTGTTTGTTGTCTTCAAATTGTCTGAGCCCAAGTCTCCATGAATAAACAACTGTTTACTGTAGAGAAACAAAGACCACGAGATCTTAATATAAGAGGTTTTGTCTGTTAAAAGACAGAAACAAGATCAGCTTTTCCTTCACCATATTAAAAAATATTATTGATAGAGAAATAATTTTTTATATGAGATCACCTTAAATTATGTCAACCTACTGTTAGGTATCGTGTTGTTTAGACCTGGTTTAGTCCTAGTTTACTGGTTAGTCCTGGTTTTTTAGTTTAGTCCTTTAGACCGGGTCACTGGTTTAGTCCTAGTTTAGTCCTGGTTTATTTCTGTTTTAGATCTATTTTATTCCTGGTTCAGTCCTGGTTTAGACCTAGTTTAGTCCTGGTTTAGTCCTGGTTTAGTCCTGGTTTAGTCCTGGTTCCGTCCTGGTTTAGTCCTGGTTTAGTCCACGGTTCAGCCCTGGTTTAGACCTAGTTTAGTCCTGGTTCAGTCCTGGTTCAGTCCGGGTTCAGCTCTGGTTTAGTCCTGGTTTAGACCTGGTTTAGTCCTGGTTTAGTCCTAGTTTAATCCTGGTTTAGACCAAGTTTAGTCCTGGTTTAGTCCTGGTTCAGTCCTGGTTCAGTCCTGGTTTAGTCCTGGTTAGTCCTGGTTAGTCCTGGTTTAGTCCTGGTTCAGTCCTGGTTCAGTCCTGGTTTAGTCCTGGTTTAGTCCTGGTTTAGTCCTGGTTTAGACCTAGTTTAGTCCTGGTTTAGTCCTGGTTTAGACCTGGTTTAGACCTAGTTTAATCCTGTTTTAGTCCTGGTTCAGTCCATATACGGCGCAAAAGTTCAGCATCTTCGCCGTTATTTTGGTGAGAGTCTCTTAAAAGTTCTGCAATAGTCGTGTCATATTTTACATTTTAAACACAGTAATATTGTAATGTAACGAATCACTTTGAAATGACAGAAACAAGCCATAAATAAATAACACATTACAGTTTTAAAGTCACTTACCCAACAGTGCTCCTTAAAACAAATAAACTGTTCATGAGCCTTAAGCCCCGGAGTCTGATCCTGCTTGAGTCGTAGTGTTTCCTCATCACAAACAGACCTGGAGCTGTGTTTTGTTTCATGTTTAACCCACAAGCCCTGCAAACACACTGGTCCACCTTGTGATGTCATCATGTGGTAATACAGGAAGTGCTCCACTGTGTATTTAAACTCCATGCACACAGTGTTGGGAAGGTGACTTTTAAAATGTTTTCCCCTACAGATTACAGATTACACACGCCAGAATGTAGTTTGAATCCATTAAATTACTTTAAAGTGAGTAATGTAATCTGATTACTTTGGATTACTTATTTGCTGTAGAGAAGCAAAGACGAGGAAATCTTCACATAAGATGTTTTTCTGTTAAAATAAAATAAAAGTCCAGACTTTACTGAACCAAATTAAAAATATTATTGATAGAAGAAGGAGGAGACACGTCCACGCAGCATATTTAGTCCTGTTAAATCCTGTTTTAGTCCTAGTTTTAGACCTGGTTTAGTCCTGGTTTAGACCTGGTTTAGACCTTAGTTTTAGAGTCCTCCTGGTTTTAGTCCTGGTTTAGTCCTGTTTTAGTCCTGGTTTAGTCCTGTTTTAGTCCTGGTTTTAGACCGTTTTAGACCTGGTTTAGATCTAGTTTAGTCCTGGTTTAGTCCTGTTAAATCCGGTTTTAGTCCTGTTTTAGTCCTGTTTTAGTCCTGTTAAATCTGTTTAGTCCTGTTTTAGTCCTGGTTTTAGACCTGTTTTAATCCTGGTTTAATCCTTAGTTTCCAGGAATGAGTGGAATTACTGAGAAAAAAAAAAAAAAAAAGGGGATATATCACCCAAAATGTGAAAACAGGAAATTACTGCCGTGTAAACCAGTTATTTCAACAAAGTAACTGTAACTCCGGTACATGTAATCTGTTACTCCCCAACACTGCATATATCTTCACTAGAATCATTTCCAAACTCAGCAATGACTTTTTGTCTCACCTAAATGTTGGTACCAGCAGACAGTCTTCAGATTACTCATAATTTGCATTTTTGTTAGTTTTATTTTTTTGTTTTTGTGGGCTATAGGAAATAAGAAGTTCCAAAATATTCCTGGACTAACCGAGTTTCTAAATGACATCGAACGCCACATCTTATAATTATGTCTATGGTGAAGACTCCTCGAAACGTTTAGTATAACAGGAAGCTGAAACTCTTCAAAAATGATACAAAACTTCTTTTTTCTGACATGATCGAGGTCTTGTGACAGTTCTGTTTGTGTTTTTTTTGTGTGTGTGTGTGCGCAGTTCCCAAAGAGGGTCTGAAGAACCAGGCGGCGTTTGAGGAGATGAGGGTGAACTACATCAAAGAGCTGCGGAGGTCCGTGGGAAAAGCAACCAACAACTCGGGTCAGACCTGGCAACGCTTCTTCCAGCTCACCAAGCTCCTGGACGCTATGCACGATGTGAGTCCTCAAGTCTGTTTACTCACCTGATCTTTCATTTTACCTGTTAAACAGAAAGTATATTAGTCTTTCTTAGTGGTTTAAAAGGTACTACAATAACAATATCGCCAATACTTTCAGTGTCTGTGGGTCCAGTCAAGTGGTAACGGAGGGAAACAGGGGCAGATTTTTGACATTCAAATGTCTCTTATTCAGAAACTAGAGGAACTATTGAAATAAGTAAAGTATCAGAATGTAGGAAAGAGTTACACTCCAACAGGGTCAAGTTAAACCTGTGATATTCTTTCAAGTTGTTGACAAAAAATTTAAAAACTCATGTCGGTAACGGAGGGAATGAAATATGCAGCACTTTTTGGGCAATAAATCCAAACAGTGATAACTCTTGGTTCTCACTTACATATCCTTAACAAACTGGTTTGAATATTTGCTTCATATAGTTTTCTACCATATGGTACAAGATTAGGTTGAAAAACCTCTTACTTTTTGACTCATGAGATTTTTATTAAGAAAAGAAAGGTCATGGTAACGGAGGGAAAATTGTTACAAACAAGTAGAAGGTGCAGGATTTTACATAATTTGTCAGTTCTTTTTCTTCCGAATACTTTAATATTACTTAAAAATGAAAGGAAACTATTTCTATAAAATATGTCAGTCCTTCCAAGCAAATTTTTATCATTTTAAATACTTTTTTTTTTTTTAAATCATGAACCTTCATCAACAGTTCAAAGATGGAATAACACAAGATATGATGAAATACATCCATTTATTTACATGATTTTGCAGGTCTTTGAAATTTGAGAAATAATTTTTGTTCCATGTTTCATACATGGTCTGTTTAAAACATATGGAACTTTAGAACCAAAAATGGTACAGAAAAAAGGTCAACAGTTTCATAAACTAGAGTACATATGTATCTGTTCAATACATTTTTATATCAGATGCATTAACTTGAATTTTTGGCCTTGTGTTTACTTCTGCTTGACCAGGCTCCAATGACGGTTTGGATTACTCATTTACTAAAGCACAAACAAGCAAGACAATTATATTTAAAATTTTACTAAAAAATATTAAAAACAAATTCCCACTTTAGTCATTTTTTAGTGTGTACAGAGACATTCTGGGAGCACCAGGTTAACATGGGACAATATTAGTTTTGACATCAAGCCTGAAGGACTTGCAAACAAAACAACGTGTTATAATATTTTATTGTTATTAAAGTATTTTATTAATTGTCACAAATGCCTGTTTTTACTGTTTTCCAAAAGAGAACTTGAAGAAAATTCTCTGAAATTGTTATAATGTATAAAAATTAAAAGAAAGCGCACCTCTTGCATAGCCTGATTCGTCAGACGGTTTCAATTCATGGAAACCGTCGGACCTCGCAGCATTAGGATTTGTTCACTCAACAGTTGGTGGGTACTTTTTTTTCTTTAACCAATCGCTGCTATTTGGGCATGACGTATGTAAGTCACCAAATCCCGTAGGAAGAAGGGCAATAACGTCTCTCCTCTTTATAAAATCCACCAAACATTCTTTTAGTTCTGGCTTTAAATCTTCTATCTCGGGAATCGTCGCCAACACAGAATGTCTGTCTTCGTCTACATCCATCTCGACGCTTTGTTTACTGTTGTGCTGTTCTACAAAATGGACCCAGACAGATGCTTGAGTTTGACATCATGGCTTCACAGCTCTTCTCTGATTGGTCAGAATGTGGTCTACAACTTCCAGGGGTTTTTGGGAACCGTCTAGTATACCGTATTTTCCGCACTATTAGTCGCTCTGGATTATAAGACGCACTGTCATTAAATGGTCTATCTTCGAACTTTTTTTTACAAATAACCCGCACCGGACTTTAAAGGAAACACAACAGTGTGATGGGTCAGTGGTTTTGTTTGTTTGTTCGTTCACGGTGACTCTGGGCTTTGTTCAGTTGTGGCGTGTAGGGAGGTGCTGTCTGGGACCAACGGATTGTCGGCGTGTTCGCAGTGACTCAGTTGTTCAGTCGTGTCTAGAAGCGGCACTTTGCGCTCGCTTTTTTTCGGTTCGTTCCTCCGTTCCGTTCCTCGTCGGCGTGGAGTGATGAGTGTCTGTGGGTGTGTTTTCGCCGGCGCGGTCGCTGTCTGCTCCGTGTGTGTTTGCGTGTTCTGCGGGTGGTGCGGCTTTGTAGTTTACTGAAGTCGTGCTGGGACACCCGAGTGGATTCGTGCTCTGGATTGTGTCGTTTTTTTTGATGGGGTTGGAGCAGCTTAAGAGCGCCCAGAAAATACAGTATTTTGATTCCTGATCTAGTCACTGGAGAGAAATGAAATTGAGCAGAGGCACTAGGCGGCACCAGCCTGGCTACCTCTTGCACGCATCTCTTATGGAAACTTTTGAAAACCTGTGAATACTTAATGACCTCTGATTTAAAAAAAAAGAAAAAAGAAAAAAAAGGTTTCAAATTGCATATTGTACTTGGTTGGAAATCATGGCATCACGCTAAGGAATTCCAATGTTTGTCATCTAGCAACTGTAGTAGTAGTAGTAGTAGTACACTGGGCCAAAACTCCTCTAATGTACACTGAAATTATGATTGGACAGATATAATTTTAAGAAAACATATTTGTTTTGCACAAATTATGTTTAAAATATAAGAAAAATATGTGTATTTTGTGTGAATTGTGTTGAACCATGGGACAGAAATCAATGTGGAACTCTCTACGTCCTGTAATTCTGAACATATTTTCAACTTTTCTTCACAACTTCTTGATTGGTGAAACACTACAACATGTCTTATTCCATCAAATTAAGTCAAAATTATAGAATCATCAAAACACTCTTTGAACCTGCAGATAGGACACATACATGTTTTTTTTTTCCTACTGGAGTCATGTGAAGGCTCAGAGAATTGTCTTAAGAACTAAAACACCAAATCACAACATCAACAACTCGGCCTTCATGTCTAAAAGCAAAAGAAAAATGTTATTCTTTTGACTAGACAAAAGTTTTAGAGTGAAGACTTTTCACCATCGAATTTTAAAAACTACAAGAAACTCTTTAAGTATGTTACAGTATTGGAGCCTGATTCATCAGCCGGTTTCACCTCGTGGAAACTGTCTGACCTCGCAGCATTAGGATTCGTTCGCTCGACAGTAGGCGGGTACTTTTTTTTACTTAACCAATCGCTGCTGTTTGGTCGTGATGTATATAACGCTCCAAATCTCGTCGGAAGAAGGGCAGTAACGTCTTTCCCCTTGATAAAATTCACCAAACATTTTCTTCTCTTCTCGATCCCGGGAATCGTTGCCAAAACAGAATGTCTGTCTTCGTCTACGTCCATCTCGACGCTTTGTTTACTGTTGTGCTGTTCTACAAAAGGGACCCAGACGCTTTGAGTTTGACATCGTGGCTTCACAGCTCTTCACTGACTATTGGCCGGTGCGCCGTCTACAACTTCCGGGGTTCTTGCAAATCGTCTAGTGCAGGGGTGTCCAAACTTTATTCATCAAGGGCCACGAATCTAAACACAGATGAAGCAGAGGGTCAATTGAGGGCCGTAGACTGGGGCTCAGTACAGGGAAATAACTGAAATATGTGCATGTTTAACACGTTTGAATGAGCCGTCAGTCTTTATTCATGCTAAGATCCTTAAAACCACAAAATAAATATTAAATATGAGCTTTATCAACTTAGAATTTCCAAAAACTTGCAGTAAAAAATTATTATTTAAATGATGCAAGGTAATTTGGGCCAATTCACCTGGAAGCTTGAGGGCCAAGAAAAATTTGTCTGAGGACCGCATTTGGCCCCCGGGCCGTAGTTTGGACATGCCTGGTCTAGTGTATTCGGATTCCTGACCTAGTCACTAGAGAGAAATGAAACTGAGCGGGGGCACTAGCTGGTGCACGTAATAATTCTCCAACAATACTTAAATGAAATAAAACCAAACTTGACTCACATCTATTCCCACTGGAAAGACACATGTTTCTACTTAAAAGAAGATATAAGTGAATTATTGTCTCAGCACCTGTTCTGGAATAACACACCAACAAAAGAATTTATAAACTAATGAAGTTAATAAATAAATAAATAACTGTGTCCTAGTCTGGCCCCAGGAGCCCCTCCCCATTAGGGCTGGGTAACGTTAAGAACTGTCGATACGATACATACCTCAAAATGTAGGCAACGATACAGTGCTGTTTCGACTAGTTACGACGTATTTCAAATCGATTCGATACGGTTCATTAAAAGTAAAGGCTTAATCATAGCTGTGATACTAAAAGTCTTTGTTAAACCACTTCTTGTGCAAAGTTCATATGAAACACAAACATTTTAATCATCAAAACAGTGAAAATGTCAAATGTGTTTCATAAACGAGTTTCCTTCCTCTACACCAGTGTTTCCCAAACTTTTTTCTGGGGACCCATATTTTGAAAGTCACAAACCTTTGCGACCGAAGTCAATAAACATTATTCATAAATCACAAAATAAAGGTGGATTTGACCGTTAATGAACAGTAATGGGGATATTTTATTGTTGACTGAGCGATCGTGTCTCTGAACAGTTAGTATTACTCAAGTTTTAAACAATGAAAAACAGTCATTGAAGCAGCAATAAAAGGTTTTATAAGTATCCTGAAGTGCACTGACCTTTGCTGATTTATCACCCTTCTTTCTGGACAACCAAGCAGCATTTCTCAACTTTAGCTAGCTGCAGATTACTCGTTCAGGGCAGGTAGGTTTCGCTGACTCACTCGCTTTCTCTTCTGTGTCAGAAATGTATATCACAGATCTACATGCAGATCGTGACAAGGCGACTCAAAAAAATCTCTTGCGACCCACCTGAGGGTCGCGACACAGTCTTTGGGAAACACTGATCTACACAAACAACAAAACTGTAGCCCTGTAATAAAATACACTGCCCCACCAAAAAAAGAAAATTCACCAACTGGATTTAACTAAGCAAAGAGGTAAGAGCCTCCTATTAGATAATTACTGCATGGACGATTATCTTTCAGCTGG